ATTTCTGAAGAAGGGTCTAGGCCCGAAACGTCAGCTTTCCTGCTCCTATGATGCTGCTTGGCCTGCTGTGTTCATCCAGCTCTACACCTTGTTATCTCTTTTTCCATAGCACTTAAGTTGATTCCAGAAATATACCAAACCATTAATCAGTTGAGATATCCTTGTGGAAGATCAAAAGACTACTCTGAAGTGTGAGGTTCCAGCAAGGAGAGATTAACTCAAGCATATGTAAGGGAGAGGCTCATTTAGTCAGCCTTTTAGAATTTGCAACAGCCTTTTAGAATTTTTTAGAATTGTACGCATCATACATATTCAGCAGATGATGTGTTGGTCTGCGAGTTACTCAACCACCTTGTGTGCATTCATTTGCCTTTATTGTATCCTCTGTGCAGCAGTTCACACAAATAAAGGCTTTTGTTGCAATATCTGCTGATCCATTATTCCCAGGACCAGTGGTAATGTTAATTTTGAAACAAAATCAGAAATTGCTGAAGAAACTCAGCAGGTCTGGCAGCATCTGAGGAAAGAAAGAGAAGGGCCACAGGACTGAAAATGTTAACTCTGTTTCTCTTTCCACAGATGCGGCCAGACTACTGAGTTTTTCCAACATTTTCTGTTTTGCCCCAGAGCTAGCATTTGTCTATTATCCCACCATGCCTTGAAGAGCTCTCATAGCTGTAGTGTCTACTCTAAGATTGTTCATGCATTTTCAAATATAATTTTAATGTGATCAATCGCCTTTACATACATTGGAGGACAAGTGTACACAATTATTTGTGGAGTTTGACTAGAAGGAGCACAGATCATGGTAGGACTGTAGTAATGGTCTGTAGCCAATGCTCCCATCATCTGACTTCCTATGCCAAATGCAGAACCACACAAAAGCAATATAATTTATTTTGGCAAAATATAGATACTTCCTAATATTAGCATTTTATCTTTTACATGAAATTAGTATGTAAGGTTTTAATAAACAGCAACAATGTTAGAGTGGCTGATGGAGTTTAGTTTAGATAAATGTGAGGTGTTGCATTTCAATAAGGCAAATCAGGGCAGGACTTACACACTTAATGGTAGGTTCTTGGGGAGTGTTGCTGAACAAAGAGACATTGGAGTGCAGGTTCATAGTTCCTTGAAGGTGGAGTCACAGGTAGACAGGGTAGTGAAGAAGGCATTTGGCACATTTGCCTTCATTGGTCAGTGCACTGAGTATAGGATTTGGGAGGTCATATTGCAGCTGTATAGAACATTGGTTAGGCCACTTTTGGAATACTGTGTTCAATTTTCATCCCCCTACTATAGGAAGGATGCTGTGAAACTCGAAAGGGTTCAGTGAAGATTTACAAAGATGTTGACAGGGTTGGAGGGTTTGAGCTATAAGGAGAGGCTGAATAGGCTGGGGCTTTTCTCCCTGGAGTGTCGTACGCTGAGGGGTGACCTATAGAAGTTTACAAAGTCATGATGGGCATGGATAGGGTGAATAGACAAGGTCTTTTCCCCAGGGTAAGGGAGTCCAAAACTAGAGGGCATAGGTTTAAGGTGAGAGGGGAAAGATTTAAAAGGGATCAAGGGGCAACTTCTTCACTCAGAGGGTGATGCATGCATGGAGTGAACTACCAGAGGACGTGGTGGAGTCAGGTACAATTACAACATTTAAAAGGCATCTGGAAGGGTTTAAGGGGATATGGGCCAAATGCTGGCAAATGGGACTAGATTTATTTAGGAAATCTGGTCTACATGGACGAGTTGGATCGAAGGATCTGTTTCCGTGCTGTACAACTCTATGACTTTATGACTCTGTTTAAAAATAGCAAAAATGTATATACTCATTTTGTATAAAATGTTTTTATTTCTGTACAGGACACCCATATTTCATCCATGTTTTCATTGTACTCGGTGTGATCTTACTTGCTTCGGGACTTGGGCTGTATCTAATTTGTAAATTAGGTAAGCCATTTGAATTATCTTAAATAAAACCTGCTAATGTTTATGTGACTTTGACTTCCTATGTGAGAGTGTCTAGTTAAATAAAATCTAGAAATGCACATTAGTGCACTTACTAGATCTTGGTTTCTTCCAGGTTGAAATCTTAATTTCTAATCATTTAATAGAATCATATAATCCTTACAGTGTGGAAGCAGCCATTCAGCCCATTGAGTCCACACCAACCCTCCAAAGAGCATCCCACCAAGACTACCCCCCACCTTATCCCTGTAACTCTGCATTTCCCATGGCTAATCCACATGGCCTGCATATCCCTGGACACTATGGGCAATTTAGCATGGTCAATCCACATAACTTGCACATCTTTGCACTGTAAGTCAAAATCATAGCATCTGGAGGAAACCCACGCAGACACGGGGAGAATTTGCAAACTCCACACAAACAGTCACCGGAGGGTGGAACCAAACCTGAGTCCTTGGCGCTGTGAGGCAGCAGAACTAATCACTGAGCCACCGTGCCGCCCAGTGTTGTATACCTAATTTTCATAATTCCAAGTTCCAGTGTGAATAAAACTTTACTAAATCTGGGGCAGTATAGAGTAACAAACGTCCATCTACCATCCTATTCTACTGCGAGGTTTGTTGTTGTAAAGATTTTGTTCCTTGTTCATTTTGCCTCTATTATCGTTTCTTTTAAATTGGTTGTCATTGCTACCTTTATGACCCCTGTCATAAAACTGAATGTTTAGAATATAACCTGGCCCAACTTTTCCTTCAGCCTTCTTCTAGAGATCCTGAATATGGTAACTATAGTGGTTTGACCTTGCCCTTCAGCTGAAGCAATTCTGATGAAGGGTCTAGGCCCGAAACGTCAGCCTTCCTGCTCCTCTGATGCTGCTTGGCCTGCTGTGTTCATCCAGCTCCACACCTTGTGATCTCAGATTCTCCAGGATCTGCAGTTCCTACTATCTCTAATCCATATATAGTTTTGATTCTGAGATCTGTATTTAGCTGGTTTATCTATGACTTGAATCCACATCTCATAAATCAATTTAAACTACCATTTTTAATAGGCAAAGTCAATGAAAGAATTGTATTCGCCAATGAAATACATCGGCTACAACCAGTTAAAGTCCTAATCATTTACTCAATGGATAATACACCGATCCAAAATGTTGTCCTGACTTTTGCTGAATTGCTGCAAAGTTCCACTGGAATCCAAGTAATCATCGACATGTGGCAAAAGATCGATATTGCTGAAGTAGGCACTGTTCAATGGCTTGCCACCCAGAAGGAGAATGTGGATAAGATCATTATTGTATGTTCAAAAGGTGTCAAAATTAAGTGGGATACTATTTGTTACAAAACAAACATGAATCAAAAATTGAATAATTCAGAAGACATGTTTTCTATTGCCTTAAATATATTTTGTAGTGATTTGAAAAATGGTTCGTATCTGCATAAGTACATTATTGTATATTTTGGTCAAATAAGCTCAGCCAAAGATATTCCCAGTATTTTTAGTTCATGTGTGAAGTACTGTCTTGGGAAAGATATCAGTAAATTATACAGAAATCTATATGGTGCCTCACAGAAACCATGTAGTGAACATGCTGTTCTGATGCCATACTACAATTACAAGATTGCATATAATCAGAAGATGAAAAAAGCAATTTTGGAATTTAAGTGTTGGCAGAATATTCATTCAAATTCAAATGCACTTGAGATTACATTGGAGAATTTAGCATGAAAAAACATGAAAAAAATCTTCAAACAAATTGATACAGGGTACTTTCCTACCTAGCACTAACTACAGAGCAGAGCAAATCTGAACTTTAGTTCTTGGTCTGTGCTGATGTGCCCAATCTCAATCATTGACTCTGTCGCCTCAGTGCCCTTGGGATAAGGAGGAAAGACAATGTCCATACATCTTGATGGCAACTGAACAGCTCATACTAGAATGATGTGTGCCAACACAAATGATCAAATTTTAGGTCATATATTTTGCTGGCATTGATTATTTGGACTATACCTGTCATCAAGACAATAATTTCAGTTTCTTCAGCATCTCCATATAATTGAACTCCTTTGACCTGGTATCTTTATTGTAGTTCTCTCTTGTACCCTCTCAAAGGCTTTAACATCCTTCCTAAAATGCTGTGCTCAGGACTGAATACAATTCTCCAATTGAGGCCTGACCAGTGTTATATAATATTTAACATTTGTTCTTAGTTATATTCAGGTACCCACAAACTTTTTTTTAATAGTCACTTCAACTTGCCTGTCTTCTTAAATATTTGTATATATACACTTCAAATTCTCTGTGTTCCTATACTGTTTTGAAATTATACCACTTAGTGTGTTACGCTTAGAAGAGTGCTATGATGGCGATTGAAATATAAGACAAAATGTTCTGAAACGGTCATCTTCTATATGTAAAATACAAATAATAAATACAATTATATTACATTCAAATACAGTCATCATGTGTATGTATGAAAACTTCCTTTCTATTGTTTTTATTGTTTTCTTTCCAAGTCAATTGCATTAAATATTTACTTTTACATGAACTTACAAAGAATGAGAAAGAGTTCGACAATGATTTTTAAGAATGAAAATCCGTGAAAGAATATTTGCATCACTGATAGACAGATGTCTTCCTAGACTCCAGGTGAAAACTGCACTTCCCTCTACACTGAATGAAAACAACCCAAAGAGAGAGACCTACTAACATAGAATCACCACCGCTTAATTTAATTGCAAAGATCTACTCAGATGTAATATCTATTTTTATAAAAAAAACTTTAAAACAATTATTTGACTTGTTATCCTTCCATAGTAGTTTGGACCAGTACAAGCACCCATGGGCCTAACTTATAAAATTTTTGTTTTTTGTTTCTAGATTGCATCTTTGTATTCATGCGATCATTGTTTTTTATTGAACAATACTCAGCTTTGTTCTCCTTGTAAAGTAGAAATGGACAAGTATGAACACAAAATGCTTGAGGTTGATTGATTGATTTATTGTCATGTGTACTGAAGTACAGTGAAAAGCTTTGTTTATGAGCAGTACAGGCAGATCATAGTAAGGAAGGTCGTACAGATCAAGAAAACTTAGACAGAGGCATACAGGTGACATTGCAGAGGGAGTGTGCTAGGTGAGATTAACATTAGCAAGATCAGTGTCATTTGAGGCTAGAGAGTCCATTAGTCAAAACATAGTGAGGAATTAGAGACAACACAGTATGGAGCTGGAGGAACACAGCAGGCCAGGCAGCATCAGAGGAGCAGAAAAGTTGATGTTTTGGGTCTGGACCCTTCTTCAGAAAATTGAAGAAATTACGAAATTTTCTGAAGAAACGTCAACTTTTCTGCTTTTCTGATGCTGCATGGCCTGCTGTGTTCCTTCAGCTCCATATTGTGTTGTCTCTGACTCCAGGATCTGCAGTTCTTGCTATCTTATAGTGTGGAATTATCTAGCTTTCAAAAACAAACAAATAATGTAATCCAATATAATGTATCACTTTCTATCATCAATGAGCTATGCGCTAGTATTGCCAATTTATCACTAAATTGATTCTGAAATACAGGCGATTGTCCTTAGTGAGTTCTAAAAGTTAGCATATTTTCTCAATATCTTTTAAAATACACAGATTGCTACATTGAGGTTGAGAAGATTTTGGAAGCTGATAACTCTTTTTGAGAAGGCAGTTTTAGCAAATAGTATTCAAAAATACTCTTTAAATGTAATTTTCCATCGCCTATCTTTCTGTAATTTAGCCATTAATCAAATAAGTTTTGTAAATCACAGAAAATGATGTAGAAAATATAAAATGATGCTCAGAACTATCACCACGGGACAAAAAGTGTATGTCAGTCAGTCCTCGTGGAAAGTCATCAGCCTTAAAGATTAGCTCAAATCTTCTGGTATCTGTAATATTGAAGATGGAACTTGTTGGGAGATGTGTGTTAGGACCCTGTGGAAGTCCTTATGTACACATGTTCATTGAAACTGTTTGGGAAGTCCAAACTTTCAAAGGGTTGTTTTCTGTTGCGTGAGACGTTACTCAAATGTCTCTTATAGTGAACTCACTGTCAGAGACTAGGGGTGGTTGCAAGGGAACTACCCAGATACTTGCACAGGAAATGTTATGCAGCTCAATACCTGGTCTAACTTTGTGATTAACGAGCTTATTGTAACTGAGGACCACAAAGTGCAAACATAAGGAGATGAATAGCCCCTCTCTGTGTTGTAACTTCTGTATGATTTTATGTATTTAACATCCCTATCAATGACTAACTACCCACTCTACCCAAACTAACAACTCCTCCCGATCCAACTAGCTACTTCCTGTCCACTGACTACTTCACCAACCCCTGACCGCCCAACAACCCTCCTGATTTACCGCCTATCGCCTGATAGCCCCATTAATCCCCTATAAGGACCAGCTAATTAACTTTTGACAAACCCAATAACCCCCTTCCCTCAATCACTCCAATTCACCTATTTATCCTTTCATTATCCCCACTAATTTACTGGTAGATTTGGACCGTGGACAATTTACCTGAATGTAACATTTATTCCAGTGAAAAGGGGTGTATCCTGTTTTTGTCTGTTTTCTTCCACTCGACAATCTGCTCTGGTAAAGTCAGTGTGGACCATTTGGCTTCAGTTGAGGTTATAAGCCCTGTATACAATTTTTGCCAACTTATTTAAGGAGGGATATAATTGCACTAGATGGAATATTGAGAAGGTTCATTACGCTGATTCCTGGGAAGAAGGGGTTATTTTATGAGGAAAGGTTAAGCAGGTCGGACCGATATTTGGCCTGGGCTATATGGTTTCCGTACTTACAGAAACTGTTTTACAACCAACCACAGTCAAACAAATACATGCTTGATCAAATTAAAATGATCCATTATTGAACAATAACTGAATCTGGCTGGTGATTATATTATGTTCAGCAACATTTGTGCCTCTTCAGACCCTGAGGCAGCCTGTTTTATAATGCAGCGGGTCCTGAACAACATTCATGCTTGGGCTGGTACGTAGCAGTAAATAGCATGCCATAAAAGTGCCAGAAAATGATCATTTCAAATTCAGGACATGAAGCCTCATGGTAGTAAGTCAACATGGATAAGGAAATCTTCAACTGATTACACCCAACCTTTGCAAGGGTATAGCATGTACTCCAGGTGGAGCATTTCATTGTCGACCACCAAGAGTGGGTCAACAACAGCACTACTGACTGAGCTGGTCTGGTACCATAGCTGCTAGACTGGGTCTGCAGTAGGTAAGGAAATCAACAAGAGGGAAAAATATATTTGACCTCATCCTTGCAAATCTGCTGACTGGAGATGCACCTGTCCATGCTAGCATCGGTAAGAGTGACCACCGCACAGTCCTTGTAGAGATGAAGTCACACCTTCACATTGAGAATACTCTCTATTATGTTGTGTGGCACTACCACTGTGCTAAATGGGACTGACTTTGAACATATCTAGAAACTCAAGACTGGGCATCCATGAGGCACCATGGGCCATCAACAGCAGCAGAATTGTACTCCAGCACAATCTGCAACTTCATGGCCTGGCACACTCCTGACTCTACCATTGTCATCAAGCCAGAGGATCAACTCAATACGGAGCGGAGGACAGCATGCAGGACTAGCATCAGATATATATAAAGATGAGATGTCAATCTGGTGAAGCTAGAAAACAGAACTAATTGCATGCCAAACACAATGTGCCACATCCAGTCATGAATGGTGGTGGACGATGAAACAATTCACTGGAGGAGGAGGAACGACAAATTCTTCATTTTCAATAATAGAGGGATAATTGGCCAAGTTCGATTTGTCTTGCTGTCCATTTCCTGGATTGTGAGTATATCACCATTAAATCTCATTTGCTTGAATCCAAAAGGTTTTTGAATGTGGATTTAAACATTGTGTATACACTTGAAGTAGAATAGTCATGATAAAACTATCCTTGACTATGTAGACAATGCTTTACTAAGGGAATGCATTGAATATTAACTTTCCTCCCACAGTCCAAAGATGTGCAGGCTAGGTGAAGTGGCCATGCTAAATTGTCCATAGTATTCAGGTATGTGTAGGTTAGGTGTGTTAGGCATGGGAAATGAGGATTACAGGAAAAGGGTAGGGGAATGGGTCTGGGTGGGATGCTGTTCAGAGGTTCGGTGTGGACTTGTTGGGCTGAATGGCCTGTTTCCACACTGTAGGGATTCTACGAAATCAGTCATCATTTCTTTCTAATGCGTGAATTAACAAAACAATACATATTACTTCTTCAAATTACATGATCAATCTGTAGAGTTGGGAGATATCACTGGGCACAGACAGTGCAGGAATTCCCTATGGCCATTCCCCTCTCAAACAGGTATACCGTTTGGATACAGTTAGGGATGGCTCCCTCAGAGGAAAGCAGCAGCAACAGCATGATCGGTGGCACCACGATTGGCACTGCTGTACAACAGGCAGGTTCAAAGTGTAGGTGAGCAGTAGTGATAGGGAACTGTATAGTCAGGGGCATAGATAGGCATTTGTGTGGCCGCAAGTTAGACTCCAAAATGGTGTGTTGCCTGCCTAAGCTCGGGTCAAGAATGTCTCTGAGTGGACACAGGATATTCTGAAGTGGGAGAGGTGAGCACACAGAGGTTGTGGTCCGTATTGGTACCAATGACATAGGCAGAAATGAGGTCCTGCAAAGGGAGTTCAGGGACTTAGATAGGAAGCTGAAAAGCAGGACCTCTAGGGTTGTAATCTTGGTATCACTTTCTGTGCCATGTGTTGTAAGACTAGGAATAGGAAGATAGTACAGTCAAATAAGTGGCTAAAGAACTGGTGTAGGATGAAGGGCTTCAGATATATGGATCATTAGCATGTCTTCTAGGGCAAGCAGGACCTGTACAAGAAGGTAAGGTTGCACCTAAACTAACAAGTAAAATGACTGAGGATGAGTCAGCAACTAAGGCCAGAAAGACTAAGAGGAAGAATAGATAGAGAGAGGTTACTGAACACTGCAGGATGGGCAGCACTAAAATTTATTTGTTTTAACATGAAGAGTATGATGTAAGGCGGATGAACTTAGAGCACAGATTAGTACATATAACGATGTTGTAGCTATTACAGAGACTTGGGTTGAGAGAGGGACAAGACTGGCAGCTTAATATTTCTGGATTTAGGTGCTTCAGGCATGATAGACAGGGATATAAATGAGGTGGGGGAATTGCATTACTGATAAGGGAGAATATCATAGCTGTACTGAGGTAGAACACCTTGGAGGGCTCATCC